GTTGAAGTCCAAGCATCTTTCGAAAAATGCTGCTATAGTTCCTCTGAAACAGCAGTGGCTGGACGGACAGGCCCGCCTATATATGGGCTTATTTACTTATTATATTTTTATTCCGCTGCTCTCCTGAAGAATTCTCAGCGGTACGACTACCAGAACCATCAGCCCCTGCCAGGCTCCAAACTTTCAGTGTTGAAAAATCAAGCTCCCCAAACATCCCGGAAGGCTTCAAAGGGTTAAAGTGACTGAGCACGGCTTCCTAGAGAGGCCACAGAAAGCGTGAGAGAGGGTGGGGCAAAGCCAGGTGGGTCCTTTCCCTCCAGGGGATACAGCTTTGCAGTGTGGGGAGGCGGGGAAGAGAGCTGGCCAGTGAAGGGATTCTCCAAAACAGTGTTTCTCAACCTTGGCCATTTGAAGATGCACGGACTTCAACTCCCAGAATTCATGGCTGGGGAATTCTGGGAGTTGAAGTCCATGCATCTTCAAGTGGCCAAGGTTGAAAACCACTGCTCCAAAATGTGCTTAGCTAGTTTGCTGCTGGATTCACATGACACACTTAATAACCTGATTATAGAATTTACCTTTTGGATTCTCACCATGCATCTAACCATACATTAACACAATTTAACTTGAGATGTGAATGCAGCCCCTTGGGTTTTTAACTGAGCTGGTCAAGTGTGCTGTGTGAGCCTAGCATTAATCCAAGGGATTCAGCAACCTAGTTTCAGCTAGCAATGCTTTGGGGTGCGCTAAGTACAAAGCCAGTGGGGTTAACAGCAATAGAAAGTTGAGATGCTTCTTGTAAGTTTTCCATCCGGCTAGCAGTTCCCCTTCCTACCCTTTTCTCCTGACAACAGACACCCAGTTTTTTGTGGTTATAAAGAATATGAAGTCCTTGGGGCTGGCTAGGGCGGGGGCTTTTCTGTAAAGATTTTTTTCAGATGTCCATCTACCTGGTTGTACTTCTGCAAACTATGGGTTTTCCCCAAATCTACTGCTACTACTTCCTCTTATATACGCGTGTTACCATGTTTAGCTGTGCAAGATTTGCTGTTCACAACCTGAACTCCAGCAGTAGGATATCCCAGTGGATGGATTCTTGCAGCATGCTTGACTTGATCACTGAATTAATCCATTTTATTATTCCTCAGCCTCGTATGCCACTTCTGTCAGGACCGACTGCATTCAGAAAACGTTTTTAAAAATCAGTATTATTACAGTGATAAAAATCATATTGCTCCAAAGAATAATCTTACCAAGTACTTAAGCCATCACTTTCCCTTCCAGATCTTCTTGTGCTGACAACTAGAACTTTCAATTGTACCTGGAAGCCAACTGGTAATCAGTTCAGCTCCCAAAGTAGTGATGTTATCCAGGCAAAACAAAATGTGTCCATAACTGCTCGGCTGCTGTGTTCTGGGCCAGCTGGAGCTCCTAAGCGGTCTTCAAGGGCAGCCCCACGTAGAGGCCACTGCAGTAGTCCAACTGAGAGGTAACCAAGGTATGAGTCATACAAGGAGGGCACCCTAATCCAGGAAGGATCATTATTTGTGCATCAGATAGCATTTTTCAGGGGTCTTCCTCACCATGCCCGCACCACTATCTCAGTCTCCAGACAATGGGACAAGACCTTGGCAGTACCGCTGAGGTCAACCAGGATTCGAGATATACAGCTGAGTATCACTAGCATGCTGATGATATCTAGCCCTGTATCAACAGATGGCCTCATCCAGCAACATATGCAGATGTTGAAGAAAAAGAAAGAGTGGAGCCCAGTGATACTCCACAGTGGAAAGCCTTGGGCCACAACCGCTTCCCCCTCTAACTAGAAGCAGCCCTGGAGGAAGGAGCAGAATACTACAAAAAAGAGGCCCCCCTCCCAAGCCAGCTGGTGGCTGCACTTAGCCAACCTTTGCTGATCTCATGGGGGTCGGTCCTGTTTAGTACTTGGATGGGAGACCACAGAGGAATCAGGATGGTAGGCTAGACTGGGAAAAAAAAAATCTGAGAAAGTCCTAAGTAGCAAACCACTTCTGTTTTGTTGTCAGAAAACTCTAGATTTTCTCCATGGGGT